CTCTAGTACTACAGTGCAGTAAAAATTGAGAGAGAGGTAGATGCAGTCACTGCTTTAGTACTGCAGTACAACTTTAACATGCTCCCCTCCCTCCCGTCTGTACTGCAGTACGTTGCTACAACCAGCACATTCACTACTGCAGACCTAGCACTGTATTTATATCTGTTAAATATCCTATTTAAAGTCCTGCACCTCATTATCATTGGCATATATGTAATCTTAGCAAAAAATTGCCCCTTACGTGTATCCATCTTTGTATTTGGAGCTTTGCAGATTCAAATGTCACTGTCAAAGAAGCTGATGCATTTTTTTGGCTTTCTAGAAGTAATTCATTAAATTGTAAAATTGTACAAGCATGGGACATTTGGGTTCCTAATCAGTCAGTGTGCGTACAAAATTCTAGCTACGTAAGAGAAGTGTTTTTTTTAAAAAAAGCTTTTGCTGCACAGACACTGCTGCAAAGCACAGCTCCTGTAGCTTCCCTGCAGTCAAGTGAAATGAAACCTTTCCATTTACAGTATGGTCTGGTTGACTGCAATATGAATTTATTGATTTGGAATTGAATTTGATATCTAAGTGTATTAATGTTTTAAATACTACTAGTTGGGCTATAATCTCCTTGCTTTCTCCCATATATAATATACAAAATACTCTTAGGCTATATATTTATTTGAAACATCCTAAGTCAATTCTTGTTCTTCCCCCTCCCCCAAAGCTACCATCCTCTTGTTGTTTCTGAGGCTGGAATGTGAGATAATGTTGTAAGTGGGTCTGTGATATTCTTGGCTTTTATTGTGTTTGGATGAAATACATATTAATTCACACAATCAATTATGATATCAGTCTAATGTAGAATAAATCCAGCAGTAGAGCATTGACAGAACAATATTCTTACATTATGCAACTTTGTTTGCATTTTAGTTTAACTCTATACACTAAAAACAATGTATTAAATCCTCAATTAGTTTGTCATTGTGGAAAATACATCTGGTTTGTGGTCTTCCTATTAACTGTAAGGGGTTGAACCTTCAAAAAAGTATTGGTATTGGTTTGCTTCATATATGGCAGAACATGTACATGTATATGTTTGAACAGTCACATAATGATTTCAAATCTTTTTTTTAAATCTTGCAATACATTCAAACCTGTTTCAGCAACCACTCAGGGAGTGGCTTTATCTAAGGGTGGCTTTCTGAGTAAGTGTTTGTTGGTTCATGACTGGGTCTGAACTTTTTTTAAAATTTCTGCATGCCCTCATGTAGACTCCTGCTACACTACAAGCGCATTTACCAACGCCACCTCAGTGTTGAGGCAGGAAGCTGTGTGTGTCATGTTGGCTTCTCAGTGCAGCATTGGTAAATGAGCTCACAGTCTATCTAGCAAGACTCTACACGGGCCTGTGGAAATTGGTAATGCATTACACTTAAATACACTTAAAACTGTCCGCAAAAAAGGATGTCTAGAAACCGACAGCGCTAAAAAGAATGGCCACTGGTTGAGTTTGATGGTTGGTTGCTGAATGGTGGTTATTTAACAGGTTTGACTGTACTTCATTCACATTAAGTTTAGGCAGGCCTTGTGGCTATTCAGAATGCATTAGATACCTCTTTTTGTTCACTGGACAAAAAGTGAACTAATAATTTATTTTAAAATGTCAATTTTTGCATGAATTGCTGCATTCTTTGTATTAAATGCCATCTGCATTTTGTATACTTAATCATGAGCATGAGTGCCGGTAAAATATAATGTTATCTTAACTTCACAACAATAAAAATGTTGAGTTATGTAGATTGACAATTGTCTAATCTTTCCAGCACTATAGTACTCTTTGTACTCCAAAATCAAAACAGAACAAACTTGTAAAGTGTGGGCATATTTCAGGACGGTTTTGAGAACTTTTCTCCAATTTAGTAATTTTAACACTTCCTCAGTCTCTGGATTTAGATCTCTAAACGGGTAGGTTATTGTTTCACTCCTATTGTTAAAAAACCCTCCCTCGGCCCTTCTCTACTCCCTAACTACCGCCCCATCTCCAACCTCCCCTTCCTCTCCAAGGTCCTGGAACGAGTTGTTGCTTCTCAGCTTCACTCCTTCCTCTCCTGCCACTCCCTTCTCGAAACCCTCCATTCAGGTTTCCGTGCCGCCTACAGCACAGAAACAGCCCTGGTCAACGTGACAAGTGACACTCTCTCCGTCTGCGACCAGGGCTTCCTCTGCCTCCTCATCCTACTTGACCTCGGTTGCTTTCGACATCATCAACCACTCTATCCTCATTCACCGCCTCTCCCCTCACCTCAACCTCCACGGCGCTGTCCTTGACTGGTTCAGATCGTACCTCTCACAATTCCTGCACTTCATCTCCTCAAACAGCTTCTCCTCTAACCCCGGACCGTCTCGTGCGGCGTCCCTCAGGGCTCCTTGGTCCCCTCCCTCTTCAACATCTATATGCTCCCTTTTGGTGACATCATCCGCAGACGTGGGGTCAATTTCCACATATAATAATAATCCTTAATAATAATCCTTGCATTTGATATAGCGCTTTTCACGTCGGGAGGACGTCCCAAAGCGCTTCACAGAACACACTGTAAAGTGAATTGACTGTATATTTGTGGGCGAACGCGGCAGCCAATTGCGCACAGCAATGTCCCACAAACAGTCGTAGATTGAAAATGACCAATTTAATTATTGTTTTTGGTTTTTTGGAGGGATTATTATTAGGCGTGTGGAGTAAGGAAACTTGCCCAAGGTTTCGCCCTGACCTGCCTGGAATTGAACTCAGGTCTCTCACTTGGAAAGTGAGTGCTCTGACCACTGAGCTACAGGACTCCATATATGTGGATGACACCCAACTCTACCTCTCTGCCTCCACCCTTGACTCCAGGACCACTGCCGTCCTGACAGAATGTCTGGCAGACATCAACAACAAGATTACAATTGTATGGCACCTTTCACGTCGGGAGGACTCCCTAAGGCGCTGACAGCATCACCATCAAGTCTTGGATGAGAGCTAACATTCTTCAGTTGAACGTCAACAAGACCGGGGCTCTCCTGTTGGCTCTCGTCAGTGTCTCCTCACCTTAGGCGCTGACAGCATCACCATCCATGGTTGCACACTCCACCTTGCTAAGCCAGTCTGGAACCTTGGGGTCTTGTTTGACACTCAGCTATCCTTTCTACCCCACATCTGCGCCATGACCCGCTCTGCCTTACCCCACCTCCATAACATTGCCCGGATCCGCCACTGTCTCACACCGCAGGCCACCGAAACCCTCATACACGCCTTCATTACATCGAGGCTTGACTATGCAAACTCACTGCTTGTCGGCCTCCCCAACTCCTCCCTCCATAGGCTGGAGATCATCCAGAACTCTGCAGCCTGTGTCCTCTCCCGCATTAGCCTCCGCGACCCTATCACCCCTATCCTTGCCCAAACCAATGGCTTCCCATCACACAGGATACAGTTCAAGATCCTGGTCCTCACATTCAAAGCCCTCCATGGTCTCGCTCCCCCCTACCTCTGTGACCTCCTAACCCCCAACCATCCTGTTCGCTCCCTCCGCTCAGCGGCTCCAGCCTGCTTCACATCCCCTGCCTTGCTCTCCCCACTATTGGCGGACGGGTCTTCCGCCCTCTGGAACTCCATCCCGCAGTCCCTCCGTCTCACTCCCTCCCTTGTCATCTTCAGGACCCATCTCAAGACCCTCCTCTTCGACTGTGCTTTCGATCACTCTGCTTCCCCCCCTGCCTACCCCCATCCCTACCCCAAATCGGGTCCGTAACTCTGTCCAGCGCCTTGAGATGTCCTCCCAATGTGAAAGGCGCATTACAAATGTAATTTTGTTGTTGTTGTTTCACTTATTGGTTCTGGGTTTAAATCTAACCCAGATAATTGGAATGGAAACCTTTTTCTTACAGCAAAACACAATTTTAAGTGAAAGGGGTTTGAGGTACTCTGTTGAGTAATTAATGGCCACAAGCCCACTAATAACAGGAATAAGTGCAATCCTTAAAATTTGGCAAATATTGCCACTTTACTGGCAGTTTTACAAAGAGAATTCATAAGAACAGCTGGTGTGCATAGTGGAAATGATGTGGGGGTGGAGAGTGGCTGTCAGCTGAGATTGAGGTTAAAGTGCTTTGTTCTCACTCCCATGCAGTATATGGTAAATATTCTCATTTAGCACTTAATCCTGATTATATGAAGTCTGTCTCTGCTGATAGCACTCCAGTCTCTGAGTCAGAGGATTCTGGCTTCAAGCATCACATGGGGACTGGGAACTCATATAGTCTAAGATGACAATCCAATGCAGAACTGTGGATGTGCTGCATTATCAGAGGTGCGGTTCTTCGGATGAAAAGTTAATCCGAAGACCTCTTTAATGTCTGGCCTTATTCAGCCAGACATTAAAGATGCCACAGCACTATTTGAAAAGAGATGGTGTCCAGGTCAACAATCCCCAAATAAGATTGGTCACTTACTCCATGGTTGTTTGTGGAACATTGCTGTATGCAAATTGGCTGCCATATTCACTGACAAAATAGTCACTTTACAGAAAATCTTGGGAAGGACTTTGAAACATCCCCCTGACGTGAAAGGCACTGTACCAAATGTAAAAATTATTTATTATTTTTTATTCTGTTTACAAAGTGTGAAAATATGTTGCATTCTTGAGTTTTATCAAAATGGCTCAAAACATTTCCCCACATATTGGGTAGGAACAGGAATGGCTATAACTAATTTCCCTCTTCAAATAATCTACCAACACTTGCTGTCGAGCAAATGTCACAGGTGAAGAATGATCAGTTTGGGTACTGCTTTACAAGAGTAGACACAACTAGTTAGGGAGACACCTTAAAGCCTAAACTCTAATCAAATATATTTCTCTGATGGATTAGCTCATAGGTTGTTGGGGGGGGCCTGGTAATTTAGTGATTTGTGGCTCTTGAGTAATTTGAGAAATTCTGATAATCTGTCTTTAATTTTTTTTCTCTATTCACAGAGCTGACTGGAAAGATTATGAATACCATTGAGGAATCAGGATTTAACATCAATGCGCTTCAAATGGTAAGATAACAATATTTTCAACATTTAGCTTGAAAAATGCATATCATGCAAATATGGCGTTAGAATTGTTCTTAAAATTGCTATGTTCCATTGCACAAGGACGAATTGGAAAATGTTAAATTTTAGTTACTACCTTCCACAATAAAGCTCATTATTTAATGTGCTTGATTAGTAATTTCACTGTGCTCTAGAATCTATTCACCTGTTTGTACCTGCTCCCCCATGAAATATCACATAACTGTCCACAGACATGTTTATATTAAAGTGGTGCAAAAAGAAAAAGGAAAGGCAGTGGGATTTCCTATACCAGGTCAGATCTGTATCGCAAGGAAGCAAAGTAGACTGTACTTTTCTGACTTCTTGATAATTATTTTTGCCAAGTTATAATTGGAGAAAAAAGGTTCCCTGTCAGAAAAGAACAGCACCAACTGTTTTCATAACATCTACACTTAGTTGGGATAATCTGGAAAGGCAGCAAGAAGAAGCGTATTCTTTTGCCTCGCCAAGAGGAAAATCCATGGAGCAAGTCAGCCCTTATTAGCTGTCCCTTAACAAAAGATTCAATAGGAAGGCTGAGGTACAGCATAAGGAATCTATTAGGATAAGTTCCACCCGGTTTTAGATTTACTCTAATTATCTTAACATTTCCGAGCATATAAAATTTGGCAAATTGTTGAATTCAGTCTTAACTTTGCAGCTGCTTTTCTATACTTCTTTAAAGAATGCCAAATTCTTAACGGTTTGAAATGTTAAGAAAAATAGAGTAAATCTAGACTTTATGGAATTTCTCTCCATATATTTGGTGGAGTTCTGTAGCTCAGTGGTTAGATCACTTGCCTCGCAAGCGAGAGACCTGGGTTTGATTCCCGGCAGGGCGAAATCTTGGGCAAGTTTCCTTACTCCACACACCTAATAATAATCCCTCAAGAAAAAAAACAATAATAAATTGGTCATTTCAATCCACAACTGTTCGTAGGACACTGCTGTGCACAATTGGTTGCCGCGTTTCACCCACAAATATACAGTCAATTCACTTTACAGTATATTTTGTGAAGCGCTTTGAGACGTCTAGAAGATGTGAAAAAGCGTTATATCAAATGCAAAGATTATTATTATTATTAAAAATAGTGAAACAGAAGAAAGTTAGGAGATTCTTCTTACCTGATGGAGAACTTCCACAGATATTAGAGTGGCACTGAAGCTCTGGACAAACAGACTATATAAAAGAGTTAAGTGTTGCCAAGGGGAAAATAAATGGCTATCAAGGAAGAGAAAATCAAGCCTTGTGTATGTTACTATGGTTTTGGCTGAGATGTAAGAATTCCATTAGAAATCAGAGGATATAGTAGGCCAATCATGTTGATGAATGAAGGATTAAGTGCAGCATTGAAATTAATATACGGTTATAATAGTTATTCCAAGTTCAGATCTGTTGTGGAAAGCATTATGATTTTTATGTTTGTATAAAATCACTTAAAAGGAAGCACTGCCAAAGATAAGTACATTTACTCATGGGCAAAGAATAATGTGTAATTCCCATCAAAGATTGATACATTGCTAACCAGTGTATTATTCCCAGTTTTGTCCATTCCCCATTTATATAATCCTGTCTGTAGTACACAGCAAAACATCAGTTTTATAAATGAGATTGGTAATTGTCTGGAGGGAAGAATTTTCCCAAAGCAAAGGATCTGGATTACACTCAGATTAGTATCTCATATGTGTGCGTAAGAACATCCTTGAGAACGGCTAGTTTGGTTGTGGTCAGATGGATTAAAGTATTACCTTAGAAAGATTTCTTTACGGGAACAGCGATAACATAGATTGTAAATAAATATTTACTCTCTAATCCACTTTTGCTCTTAATTCTACTTTCCCACCATTTTATCCCATGGAATCATTTAATGCCATATATTCTCAGGCAGAACATGGAATTGGATTAATGGATTGCCTGAGAGTGTGAACTCACTGTGAGGGGAAAGACTAGCATTAACCTATCAACTGATTTTATGCAAGCAACCAGCTGTCACTGGTTTATGTCTAAAAATTGCACATTTTGCAAGAAAGTTATTTAAACCAATGTTTTTTTATTATTAACTTTATTATTACCTAAAGTTCAATCATCTTTCCCTATTGCTATTTGTTTCACCCTCAAATTTTCTCTCTTGAAGTTGATGAGGTTACTGGTGGGGTTCCATGTTATTGTCTGTTCTTTGAGACATACGTTATCTAAGTAAGCATTCTTTAATTGCGAGTCTGTACATGGCTGTTGGTGGGCTGTTTAACTGTGGATGGGGCATCGCAGTCAAGACCAAAACTGTCGTAACCTGGTGTATGCACAAATTATTTCCAGCAGAACCTATTGTATAGTGATAAAGAGCAGGAACCCTGGCATTTGTTGTGCTTCTCTATCCCAAGATACGACCTTGTTATGACCTTGTTGATGCTTCTGCTAAGATTAACTATTGTAATATAATAATTATTCCAAATTGCAATTTCAATGACGATCAACTTTGTTTTTTGCTGAGGAATGATTTTATCAGTCAAGTAATATACTAGTAGAAGCATTTTTAAAAAAAAGAAAAGGTATATTTTAATATCAACCTTTTATCAACCTTTTAATATCAACCTTCAATATTTTAATATCAGGCTGCTTGAGTTTTTTTGAGCTGAATGAATGTGTTCACATGTCTGTATAAAGTATTTATAATCCATTAGTAATCCATCATATCCATTGGATATGACTGAATCTGGGCAACAATTTATCCAAGGGATTTTCATTGATAGCCTCACAGCATCTGAACTTACTTTAGTTTAGTCAAAGTACACTTGTTTTGGAAGATATCTACTTTTCTATTATCATAAGTATACGTACTGAATAACTACAGGTCTATTTATGAAACCTTTCATATTTATTATTGTTTTTTAAATTGTATTTTTGTACAGACCAACTTCAATTTATACAGTGTTCTTCAATATATAGATGACATACATAAATGGTAGTTTTAATTAATCCCGGTACACCAAGGGAGCCATATTACACATATGCCTTAATCATTTTAATGTTGAGATGCTTATTTTTATTAAATGTAGTCCAAAAGGATAACAATAATGGTTTTAGCAGTACCAGTTTGGAAGAATTTATTTTAATCTTAAAATGAATGTAAAAGTTAATCATTATTATCAGAACAAGTCTCCCACTTTGAATTGTTAGTATAAAGCATTAGTAAAAAAGAATTCTGAACAGTTCTTCCCACACTTTGCAAGCATAGATTCTATAAACATTTAAATTGACTAGTGGAGCCTGTAATTTTACTGCTATTTTGAGCTGAATGTGTTTATAACCCGACAAGCTTCACACTGACTCATCCGTGAAGTCTGTCGTTAAAATACTATGTTGGGATTCACCAGTGCCTTCGTTTTCTACCTCTTCTTCCATTCTTTTTTCTTCTCTTCGGAACAGTATCTCTTTGCTGGGGCATAGTTCCAAGGGAGCCAGATGTCTTCACTTGCCCAAGTGGCCATTACTTTTGTGTGTGCTTTGACTAGGGACATTAGAGCCAAGTTCCAAGTTCTTCTCCTCAACCCATGTACGCATGTGCACATCCAGAATATTCCACTGGAGAGCAGGCTTAATGATAATCTTTACATTTGATATAGCAGCTTTCACGTCGGTGGGGCATCTCAGGATTTACTGTGAAGTGCAGTGATTGTGTATTTTCTAGGTCATAGTAAGCTGGAGTGGGAAAACTTGCTGATTTTGCGCTCCTGGTAACCCAGGGTGCTAATTCATCCCAAACCAGACTGTTTTGGATGAGATCAGCTAACCCCGATGCAGAATGAGAGCATTTTATGTTTTACATGTTTGGTCTGAATGGCTCAAAAAATACTCACTGAACAAACTTGCTGAACTATAAGAGGGAGAAGCAGTTATAAATATGGCATTACACTGTGCATGAGAAACCAGCTACATGATAACATTATGTATATTTATAAAAGAGTCCTTAAGTAGTACTAGCTGTCATAAACATAACATGAGATTATCCACAAAACGTACAACATTTCCTGAGAGAGATGGCCTTCCCAACAAAATTGAAGTGCTAGTCATCCTTTCCGCCCGAATAAATTACTTGGGTTGATTTCAGTCAAGTTCATTAAGGAAAACTCTACATTAGCTTTCCTTGATTTGCTGTGAAATGAGTTTTCAACCTATATATTTCTTCATCATTTTAAAGTAAAGGAATATCTTTCTTTTCAACTTAATCAAAACTGCAAGGATTTTACAAGTGTCGTAATCTGCTCTCTTGTTTCAGACATCATAGTCAGTAATGATTATTTGCATGAATATTACGTCACAAACATGAAATAGGGTTTTGCGTGATGAGAATATGGAGTCATTCTGTTGAAGCATTCAGATGACATCATAAGCCACAAGGGTGCAGTCTGATTATTTTGTTAACCATCTGAATTCTGAGATGGATTCACTTCCCTGATTCACTTCCATATTTTTTTCTGTGTCAAAATATTTTTTGCCCTTTACTACCGCTGTTGAAGAAGGACATCACAGAACATTGAGTTGGAGACATTAAAATGATATTGGATCTACAAACTTTTGTCTTATTTTGGGTATGATAATTTATAAAGAAATAGTAAAATCATTTGTTACAAAAGTATATTGTGATAGCAATGAGTTTTTGAAGTAGAAAGTAGCTTTGTGAAAGGAATGGCAAAAATACCCGTTAAAGCAACCACCTCTATTCAGCAACAACCATTAAAGCAACCACCTCTATTCAGCAACAACCACCCAGAAACAATCCTGAACTATTTTCCATAATAAATTCAGCAACCACCTATCTAACACAACCAGTAGTGATTCTTTATTTTTAACTCTGTCAGTGTACAGACACCCTTTTCAGCAGCCAGTGAATTTAAATGTACTTAAATGCATAACCAATTTCCGCAAGCCCGCTAGACTCCTAACGCATTTACCAACTACAAAATTTACCAATTACAAAATAATTCGGGCCTGGCCAAGAATCAATTAACCTATTCTCAGAGGCCACCATTACATAAAGGCCACTTTGGTTCAATCCTCTGAATGATTGCTGAAAATAGGTTTGATTGGCCGAGTTCTAATACATTCTTTTTACATTAGTTCCAGGTGTGTTCTTTAATGTGCACTCAACAACACCAACAATAAAATTACATTTATAGAGCGCCTTTCACGTCGGGAGGACGTTCCAAAGCGCTGAACAGTCAAATGTCGGGGTCCGAGCATGGGGGAGGGGTAGTGTATGGGTGAGGGAAGGCAGAGAGGTGGGAGAGAGACCAAAGGCACAATCGAAGAGGAGGGAGGAAGCGAGGCGAAGGGACCGTTGGATAGAGTTCCAGAGTGTGGGGGCAGAGAAGTTGAAAGCCCGGCCACGGATGGTAGAGTGGGTTGGGCGGGAGACATGGAGCAGACCGGCGCCCGCTGAGCGGAGGGAGCGGGCAGGTTGGTAGGGAGTCAGCAGGTCAGAGAGGTAGGAGGGGGCAGGGGTGAGGGTTTCGGCAGCCTGAGGGGTGAGGCAGTGGTGGAGTCTGGCAATGTTGCGGCAAATACTAAATACTAACCGCATTTTTTAATATGTAGAATAAATATGCTGATTATAAAAGAAAGCTTTTTTTAAAAAATGCTTTTGTGGTTCTTCCTAAATTAAAATCATCTTGGAACAAAAGTTGCATTCAAAATTTCTAGCACTCATTGCTGATATTGTAGACATTTCTGTATTTAGAAAAATATTTTTGTTGTAGAATGTTTCACCTTTCCAATGTTTGTGTTAAATAGTTTTGCTATTTGCATTTTGCCTACATGATTCACTAAGACGAATCAGGATGATTGTCGGTAAAATAGTAACCAGGAGAGTGGCTGATTTTTTTCTCTCTCTCTCTCTAATCCAGGAATGCTGAGACCAATTTAACACATCTTTTTCTTCCCTCTCTTCTATCTTCAGTTTAATGTGGACCCAATGAATGCATCAGAGTTCTACGAGGTATACAAAGGAGTTGTACCTGAACACAATGTAAGTAGGAAGTATTTAAAGTATTACAGAGCAGTTGAAAGTATTCAACTCAGTGGCAGCCAATTTGCACACACAAATGCCCCAGCACCAGCCATGAAGCGAATGACCAATTTAATCTGGGGGATTTTCAGACAAGAAGCTGGGACAAACTCCATTCTCTTTTCAAAATATTCCATGGGATTGTTAAAGTCCACTTGAATGAAATACCATCACATTGGCATCTGGGTTCTGTACTTGCTGCAAAGCTGCAGACTTTGAGCTTTTCCTGGTTTAGTGTAAACAGTCCATAAACCACTTTAGCATCAGTGTCAAACTCCTTAACAAAAAAAACTCCATTGAACAAACAACTTTGTTGCATATAAAGATACACAAAATGGCTGTTTCATCCCTGGATGTTTCACTGTTTGAATTGAAGTCATATGGCAAGGGCAATCCTTGGACTTTTATCATGAAGTGTGCAAAAAGAAAAAAAAGCATTCTTCAGCTTACACAATCTTTACCTTGTTAGTGTTAGGTACACTACTAGTCAGTACTTTGGCAGCATATATAATCCTTTAAATTGTTATTGTATTGCTGTTATACCAATCTCTGAGTGCAGCTAGTCATTGACAAAATAGTTTTTCTGATTAGAAGAAAAATGATTGAATTCCAAACCATCATTAAGGTTTTAAGGCCATCATTATTATTTTATTGGGTAGAAATTTCTTCATAATTCCATGTAGATAAGCAATCGAGGAACTGCACATATATGTTTAGTGTTTGGAACGATGTTCAATATGCATTAAAAGCTCTGGATACCACAAGAGAGGTTAGAATAAAAAAGGCCCTTGGGCTGACTTGATCTCTAACAGAACACTAATTTAACCATCTTCCAGACACTAACTTAAACCATCTACCCAAAAGAACATTAACTTGTTTCTTAAATATGTTTAGTGTCCTGGCCTCAACGACCCTTTCTGTAACTTATTTTAGGTATTGATTACCATCTGTAATGGTAATAAATGTTTCTCGGTGTCTAACCTAAACCTGCTCTTCATAACTCTAAGCTTGTGGCATCTTGCACTGCTGTCTGAAAGTATTTTAATCTGAATGTTCTATACTTGATAAGTCAACAAAAATAATAATAATAAAATAATAATCCTTGCATTTGATATAGCGCCTCATCACGTCTTCGCGATGTCTCAAAGCGCTTCAAAGAATATATTGTAAAGTGAATTGACTGTATATTTTGTGGGCAAATACTTCTAGGTGCGATAAACCAGCAGGATAAAATTGGTCATTCATTTCAGGGCTGTTTGAGAGACATTGCAAATTGGCTGCAGAGTTTGCCTACACATCACTACACTTAATAATAAGATTCTGTGAAGCGGTTTAAGACGTTTTGACGATGTAATAAAGCAGTATATCAAGTGTAAGTTTTTTTTAATAATTTTTATTTTATGTAGCTCTATCAGGTTACTTTTGCAAAATCTCTTTTAGAGGGTGAATCACTAGGTTATCCAGTTGTTTCTCATAGTTCGTCACTCTAATGTTGGGAATCAGCCTTAGTACTCTGCACTGCTCAGCCTCACGTGCATGAGCAATCCCGTTAATTTGTAGTGACCAGAATTATGCACAGTATTCAAGGAACAGCCTGACCAGAACTCATTGTGTAGCTTGACCATTAGCCATGCAGACAGACTTCTGTTGTAAGCTTGATGATGCTTTTTCGGTTAGGATTGCCACATTAATTACAAGCTTCACAGCTGAACACATATCTACACTGACAAATCTCCTACCAAGGAGTAAAATGTCTAAGTAAGCAATAAGAGACATCTGTTTGGCTGACATATGTCTCGTGTTATCCCTAGATGATACATAGAGTCAGATAGGCTGATCAGCCTTCAATAATACCTTGGATTTCTGTGCACCTGCCTGGCTTTGCCAGGTGAGTTTTCCTCAAAGCCAGTTTTATTTCAGGAAGCAACCACTTATTTAGACATTTTGCTCTTTTTATTTAACTCAAAAGAGTGCGCTTGTTGGGACTCATCCCCAGAATCTCTTAATCCCAAATTTGTTTTTCTATCAATGTTACACTGTGATGTCAATGCAAACACTCAAAGTTTACATAGAAATTTGTAAGATACTATTTTCATAGGGTATTTTTGCCTAGGCTGATTAATGTTTCTTTTTTTACACTAGGGTATGGTGATGGAACTCTCCACTGGGCCTTGTATTGCCTTAGAAATCCTACAAGGACCTGATGTAACAAAAACATTTAGAGCATGCTGTGGACCAGCTGACCCTGTAAGTTCATGTTACATTACTAAAGATGTTAAGAGGGTTAGCAGTTAATACTATAGCTACTGAATGTTGTGGAAGACTATTTTAACAAAGTGACATATTTAATATTAAATAGGAAACTGCTTTATCTTTAATGTTATAATAATGCTTTATCTTTCATTTTATAGGAAACTCCATTGTCAGTATTTGTTCTCTATCATTCATTGTTACTGTCATAGCAACACACTTTCTAGACAAGACACCATTTGTTTCAAGATTTCTGTCAGACACATTTCTTCTGTATATGTAAGAAATTATTGGGTAATGTTAATGAAAGCTCACTATAAATGAGTCATTTTGTGGAGAACACAGATATCGTAAAAAAGTTTTGTGGCTGCTTTGCTAATTTTTGGTAGCTTGCCCAAACTACCAAATAAGGAAAAACTGCAAATTAAATCTGTGTTACTTCAGCCCATTTCCTTTTGTACTTTGTGTAAAGCAAAGTCAATGTAATATTGTACTAGGTTATCCTTTAACCTTTTGCAGTAACCTTTGACAATTTGAACAGTTGTGTAGATATTTTTCCTGACGTGTTCTGCACATTAGCAATAATGCATGGAAGCTATCTCATTGAGGCTCACAGAGATTAAAGATTAAAGGACCTTTTTTTTTACTATGAATACCTAGTGTTAGTAACCTAGTATTATCAACTGTTAAGGTCAGAAATTTCAGGGTGTACGTTTTACAGCCTTCTTTTGAACACTGTAAACCAATCATTTTTCAAAATGAATATCTACAGGAAGGAAATGATTGTTCTAGAATTGTTGGTTCTCTTAACTATGTTAAGAGTGAAAAATCTGACATTTGATGTGATAGTCATATCTGGTGATAAATACTGTATAACATAAACTAAAATTGCAATCAAGCCAGTTGATAATTATCTACTAGTTTCAGGGGTGAATTCCAGCCGCTTACTTTGGCACAATGGTTGGACGCAAGTGCGACCCAAACGTATTCATGAATTCCATTAATGTTGCTGGACCATTAGAGACCATCAATTCTGTTACCAAGTACTGCAGAGGGCCTAATCATGGGCTTTCCATTAAGTGGCACTAAGATGGCACAGTTGACAGTAATTTACCAGTTTAATCACAATCTTAGTCAATGTAAAAGTGTATATCGCAACCGTCACTCCACAATGTTTAAGATATCAGCCTCTAGCAGTTCCTGGTAGCAGCAGTATTTCCAAATATGAGATTAATACAACTTTTAATACCAACCAGTAAGCATTTTCCCAGCAGTATGTTCTTTATACTATGGAACCAAAGTTGCTCATGTGTCAGTGTACTTTGGAATCAAAAAGATTAATTTATGCAAGCTGCTGATTTGGTGGTATTGATAAAAGTGTTCAGTTGCAATGTGTTCACTTTGAAATCAAGGATTTTTAGACTTGTGCCTAGCCATGCACCACCACCTCCACCACCACCACAACAATTTGCATTTATATGGTGCCCTTTATGCCGGATGGGGTCTCAGAGCGCTCGAGAACCGCCCAATATCAGATGCACTCCACTGGTACAAAGTGAGAATATTGCTGATCTTGCAACAAATTTATGCGTTTGTCGTAGTAAGGAATAAGTTGAACAAAAACATCTTTACATTAATCCAAACCAATTCTAAATTAGCTCTGTTGTGTACAGTGCCTCTGTTAACCTATAGAAAATCATCTAATTTATCTTAGATGATTTTTAAATGCCTCAAATTCAGGTACAATTGTTAGACACCACTATCAATATTTATTAACTGAATTGGTTTAGTTCTACGAAGACTGTAAAGTGTATTGGAAATCATTGCATTATACTTCTGATGGCATCACTGCCATCAAATTTGTGATGAGCCAAAGCTGGATCAGAGCAGTGACTTTTAAATGTAAAGGCTTTGATGGTGTGGAGATGGTTATTATATGCTCAATTTGGGCAGCATTTTATGTACCTTCTTCGGCATCAATTTAATCACTAACCTAACCTAGAGAGAGATACTTAGGAGAATTGCAATGGAGAATTATTTGTTACTGTCCTTGCATCCAATTAGCCATTTGCCCTCTGTGGAAGTGAAACTTAATATTACATGCCATCAATAGTTTAATAATTAATAACATCATCTACCACAGAGTCTATCTGGTGTTTTAGCCAATATTCCTCACTCATCTAAATGCACCATAAAAAGATTATATTAGCCATTCATCTTGTTGTTTGTCATACTGGCCAATCAGATCAGTGTTGCCATGAGTCGCAAACAGCCAAAAGATAGAATTACAATTCTGGACACCTGAACCTTGAACTTCAATCTTGCTGAGCATCAACAGCTCAGCAGTTTCATTTAGAGGAACTGATGGCTTACTGGGAAGTATTGGATAGTATCTTGATTTTTTTATCCTAGTTCTGAACCCTTGTTCTTAATTTCCTAATGCAGTTATTATTCTTCATTGCTATTGGACTAGATAGGGTGGTCCTAGCTGAACAAGGAAAGGTGGAGCTCTACAAAGGTAGACAACATAGTTTTAGCTGGTTAAATTCCAAGAGTACCCCAAAAAGACTTTGGGGTCCCTAAATCTTGTCTCTTGCCAACTTACAGCTAAATTCTCTATGATTAGGTAAGCAGGGTACAGAGATTTACCAATTGTATACAGCAAGGAAACAGACCATTCGGCCTAACCAGTGTTTATAGTCCGTATAAGTTTCCACCCACTGCTTACTTCTTTCTATACCCTTCTGTTCATTTCTTCCTCATGTGAAACTCTTAACTTTGTCTTAAATACATCCGTATTATCTGATTCAACTACTGTTTCAGGCAGGCAGCGAGTTTCACAGTCTACTCTCTCACTACCCCCGGCATGGAGTAGTTCCTCCTAAATCGTCTTTTAGATTGTATGGGTGCTATTTGTGTTTGTGTCCCTGGTTACAGACTCCCCAACCAGTGGGAACAGCCTTTTTATGCCAGCTCTTTCGAACCCTTTGAAAATGTAATTATTATTATCTCTATTAGGTCCCCACGCAAGCATTGCTTCTCTAGCGAAAAAAGGTCTAACCTAGCCTCTGGGGAGAAAAGTGGGGGCTTTACAGAATTACTTAACGCAATATTCTGCAGATGCTGGAAATCTGAAACAAAAACAGAAGTTTCTAAGAACACTCAGCAGGTTAGGCAGCATCTATGAAGAAAAGAAAGTGAGTCAACGTTTTGGGTCCACGACCCTTCATCAGAACTGATACAGTTATCATTCATGAAACAGAATTGATTGCTAGTCGTATTTCAGGAATATAANTTTTTTAAATAATTTTTTTTACAAAATATATTGTGTACACAAAGTGCAACATTCAACATTTATCCATGAGTAGCTAACCACAGATATACACTAAACTATTGTTGATCAATGCATACATGAAGAAGGGAATAGAAGAGAATGGAAGAGTAGATTTGTAGTAGTAGAGGCTCATGTAGGCTAGTTGGGCTGAATGGCTGTGAGCACTGTGAGTCAACAAATTTACTAACACGCAGAAAACTTTACCTCCACCTCCAAGTGTGAAATTTCTTGATTGTTAAGTTAACTCACTTATGGAAAAGTAACATTTTAAGCTCGCGGTTAGGTCTGTTCCATTACTTACTTTAATCAGTATATGCATGAACCTCTATGGAAACTCTTTATCCAGTATTTATAGAGAGCCATTGTGTCTGTGCTTTCTCTTTAAAACAGCAATACATTCAGTCCCATTTACCTGCCTTTTTCCCTTACTCCTGCAAATTGTTCCTTTTATATATCTATCAAAGATTATTGATAGATAATGTGGATCATGCCTCGACCCGCTGCTGACAGTGGCATTATTTTAATCTATAAAATGTTACTTTTATATTTCTTGTCTGTGTCATTGAATTGTAATAACATGAATGTTTTGAACTGCATTGTTAGTTTCATAATTCAATGTATGAGATGGGGAAAAGAGCAGATTCCTATTGCATGACTTGTGTTAATTGATTAATGCAGAGCCACAACAGTTGTTTCATAGGAAATCTAAATTTCTTATTACTATATGTTTTTTTAGTCATGATTAAAGTAAAGGAAGCTACTTAAAAGGCCTAAAATTTCTAGATTTCAAATACACTAGGAAAACCATGTTTGATCTGCATTCTTTGGAAATATTTCATGTGAAATACAACTTTAGATATATCTATTACATTTCTATTTATTTATTTGACATTTAAAGCTTTTGGCAAAATTATTCTATTATGTTGAAATTGAAATAAAATGAATGCATTCTGCTATAATATTAGTTATGGTATGTAACAATAACTACATAAAGGAAGTTAAATTAATCATTGTGTCAGAATAATATTGTGTCAAAACAAGTTGCATATTGTATAAATAACAGCTGTCTTGAATCATGTGTTACAGGACTAAGTCTCAGGCTTCAGATGACTTATTTAAACCACTCGAGCTTTTGTCCCGTGATTCATGGTGTCACTTGAACCTTTGATAATGGTTTTGCTTTGTAACACACTCTTCAAGTCAGAAATTAAGCACTCATTCTATTACATAGAAAGTTACTCTGTTTCACCTACCTTACTGTTTATGTTTCATGAATGAAAAATCATACTTCCCATCTTGCATGGTCAACAGGGACAGCAAGTGTGAACTAATTGCTGTGTTTCGCCCAAAAAATATACAATCAATTCACTTTACAATATATTTGGTGAAGCGCTTTGAGACATCTTGAAGGCGTGATAAGGCGCTATATCAAATGCAAGGATTATTATTATTATTTATATGACGCTCTTCATGCGCGGTTGCTAATATAAGCATATTTGAACAAAGATGAATATTTAAATACATTTAATTTGTATTCACCATTTCCTCTTTCAAAAAACACAAAAGTTGCTTCAGTTCCTGAGAATTTCAGCTTTGCAAGATCTTGCCTACAAATAAATACTCAAGTCACTACACCGTAATAAAAATGTTGTCAAGTGCTTTG